TTTTTGACAGTAACTGAATTACTACACAAACTTTGATAATGCTTCCTTTAGCAGTCTTCACAGCCCTCTCTATCTCTGCCTCTGTTATCCTCTCCACCCTTGCTACTCTCTCATCCAGCAACACTCCCTACCCTGTAGTGCTGTACGACCCTGGTGGGTTTAGCACTTGTTTTGATTGTAATAATGTAGAGCCGTATATGAGCTTTTGCTTCACCATGTTGAATTTCAGTACTTGAATGATGCAAGTGTTGAACAGATTATCTGATCTTTGATGCTGAGACCCTCTGTAAGATAAGATTTATTCGGATTTTTAACCCTGAGGGTTAACCTCCCAGGATAACCCAAGAAAGTCAGTGTGCGTCATCGAGGACTGTTTTCCATTGGGACCCTTCAGTCTTGTCTCTCAAGATGCTACCCACACCAGTCGACTAACACCTAGGTACTTACTGCTAGGTGAACAGAGATAGCAGGTGTAAGGAAACATGCCCAATGTTTTCACCTATGCCGGGGATTGAACCAAGAACATTCAGTGTGTGAATAACAAAAAAGGCACATTACCGTGACTGGAACGATACACAAATAACCCGCACATAAAAGAGAGAAGCTTACGACGACGTTTCGGTCCGACTTGGACCATTGACGAAGTCAATGGTGCGGGTTATTTGTGTATTCAGTGTGTGAGAAATGAGTACGTTGCCAACCGAGCCACAGGACACTTTCTCAGTCAAGGGACATCCTTCACCGAGGCAGGCAGGCAGGCAGGCAGGCCAGGCAGGCCAGGCAGGCCAGGCAGGCAGGCCAGCCATAATGGCACAGATTCTTCTTGTCAGTCTTTGATAAATGATGAACGTTATTTCTACAAAGTATTATGTTTATATAATTTGTTCAGGGATGGTGGCGTTATTGACATGGTTTATAGAAAGCCATTTATCTCCAAAATATGGCGACATACAGTATGTATAACACTTGCAAGATGGACGCCCCTCAAGGAAGGTTCCTTGATGTTGGTGAGGGGCTCTTGATTTAGGGAATTGGATCTATGCTCCAGTTCCCCGAATTAAGCCTGAATGCCTTCCACATCCCCCCCAGGCGCTGTATAATCCTCCGGGTTTAGCGCTTCCCCCTTGATTGTAATAATAATAATAATAATGCAAGATGGACGGCATTACTGGCAGTGTAATGGTCACAGAGCAGCATCAGTGTTATCTTCAAAAGTCGTCTTGTCATGTGCCTATGTCAGGCAACTGTGCGAGTAATCTTACGTCATGTCGCTGGTGTCACCTCAGCCAAACCTTCCCACTTCTTAAACTGTATAACTCCCCAACAACAACAGGGTATATAGAAGTATAAAATGGCCTAACTTAGGGCAGACTTCCCTAAATAACCCCCCTCCCCCCCCCCCCCCCAAAAAAAAAAAAAAAAAAAAAACGGCTCTCCCTACAAACAGGCGTGATCACACCACCAGCTGCCATTATAGGCACTCCTTGCCAATAAAAGGCCTTAAGATTTGGAACTCTTTCCAAAGATGCTTCAAAAATATAGTTAAAAAAAAAAAAACTAAATCTGACCTATACTCCCCTTAAATTAATTATGCTAAAGCCTGATTTATCATTAAGCCACCCTGTTGATCCAAATCATATCAACATTCATGACTTTGCTATCGCCAATTTTTTCACATGTAATAACCGAAAATATATTTACCTCAGTATTCACCACTACAAATGTTATAACAATTTGTTACTCAAGAGTCATTAATTATAAGCCAAATTGCTAGTATATTAAAAATTATAAATTGCAAAACATAGCATTCTAGTAAACTAACCTTACAGTATAATTATTAGTTACAAGTTAATTTTAAGGGTTATACATATTAATTATTCCTAAATCAGTTGTATACTGTACCTATAAAGTTGTCTGTCCGCCTTTGTCTTTAGAGTCGACCTTGACGTCAAGCTTGACTCGGAACACACGCAATTAGGTGAGATGAGTCAAGCTTAAACATTGCTGCCGTTTTCTTATCTGGTGTTGCCTCTTCAAAGCAAAGACTATATTGGATTAAACCCTTATGGGTTTAATGCTTAGTTATAATTATTATAATAATATTTCTCTTATATAACGTTTCCTTATATGAATCAGCCTGAACCTTTCTTGCACGGCTGTACAGTCCGATGTACAGTGTGATATAAAGCTTCAAGAACAACCATGTCCCGGACACTGACTTTTTCCAGTAACTGTTTTCCAGAAGGGCTGCTGAGATCCGCATTCTTTTGTTCATTTGAAATATTGCTGCTTAATGAAGACCATCTGGCTCAGCAGGTTGTTCACAAAGAAAGGAAAGCTTCTTGGGCTGCCTATCCTATACTTGCTGAAAGTGAATGTAACTTCGCACATATATTTGAAACTGGTACATCATTGCTTTCACCTCCTGAACTGAACATTTCCTATATAGAAAACCACCTGCTATACCTGGAGAGGGTTTCAGGGGTCAATGCCCCCGCGGCCCGGTCTGTGACCAGGCCTCATGGTGGATCAGGGCCTGATCAACCAGGCTGTTACTGTTGGCCGCACGCAACCCGATGTAAGAACCACAGCCCGGCTGGTAAGGTACTGACTTTAGGTGCCTGTAGAGCGCCTTTTTGAAGACAGCCAGGGATCTATTGGTAATCCCCTTTGTGTATGCTGGGAGGCAGTTGAACAGTCTTGGGCCCCTGATACTTATTGTGTTGGCTCTTATCGTGCTAGTGGCGCCCCTGTTTTTCATTGGGGGCTGTTGCATCACCCGCCGAGTCTTTTGCTTTCATAGGAAGTGATTTTCGTGTGCAAGTTTGGTACTAATTCCTTTAGGATTTTCCAAGTGTACATAATCATGTATCTTTCCCGCCTGCGTTCTAGGGAGTACAGGTTGAAGAACTTCAAGCGTTCCCAGTAATTGAGGTGTTTTATCGCACTTATGTGTGCTGTGAAGGTTCTCTGTACATTTTCTAGGTCAGCAATTTCACCTGCCTTGAAAGGTGCTGTTAGTGTGCAGCAATATTCCAGCCTAGATAGAACAAGCGACCCGAAGAGTGTCATGGCTTGGCATCCTTTGTTTTGAAGGTTCTCATTATTCATCCTGCCATTTTTCTAGCAGATGTGATTGATACAATATTGTGGTCTTTGAAAGTGAGATCCTCTAACATTATCACTTTCAGGTCTTTTACATTACTTTTTCGCTCTATTGTGGGGTTGGAATTTGTTTTATATTCCGATATAGTTTTAATTTTCTTACGTTTTCCATATCGGAGTAGTTTAAATTTCTCATCATTGAACTTCATATTATATTCTGCGGCCCGTTTAAAGATTTGGTTGATGTCCGCCTGGAGCCTTGCAGCGTCTTCAATGGAAGACACTGTCATGCAAATTCGGGAATCATCTGCAAAGGAAGACACGGTGCTGAGGCTTACATCCTTGTCTATGTCAGATATGAGGATGAGGAACAGGATGGGATCGAGTACTGGGCCTGGTGGAACAGCTTTTCACAGTAGCCGCCTCAGACTTTACTCTGTTTACTACTACTCTTTGTGTTCTGTTTGTTAGGAAATTATAGATTCATTTATCAACTTTTCCTGTTATTCCTTTATCATGCATTTTGTGCGCTATTACACCATGGTCATACTTGTCAAAGGCTTTTGCAAAGTCTGTGCATACTACATCTGTATTTTGTCTTCTAAAGCATCCAGGACCTTGTCATAGTGGTCCAGTAGTTTGGACAGGCAGGAGCGACCTGCTCTAAACCATGTTGCCCTGGGTTATGTAATGATGGGTACCTAGATGAGTGGCGATCTTGCTTTTTAGAACCCTTTCAAAGATTTTTATGGTATGGGATATTGATTGTTCGGTCTGTAGTTCTTTGCTATTGCTTTACTGCCCCCTTTGTGAGTGGGGCTATGTCTGTTGTTTTTAGCAGCTGTGGGACGACCCCTGTGCCCATGCTCCCTCTCTATAGGATGTTCCATGAGCCTGGGCCTGATAACGACATACAAAATACTGCGTGGAATAGATAAGGTGGCCAGAGACAGGATGTTCCAGAGGGGACACAGAAACAAGGGGACACAATTGGAAGCTAAAGAATCAGACGAGTCACAGGGATGTTAGGAAGTATTTCTCCAATCATAGAGTCGTCAGGAAGTCTAATAATCTAGCAAGTGAGGTAGTGGAGGCAGGAACCATACATAGCTTAAAGACAAGGCATGACAAAGCTCAGGGAGCAGAGAGGACCTAGTAGTGATCAGTGAAGGGGCGGGACCAGGAGCTGAGTCTCGACCCGTGCAACCAGAATTAGTTGAGTACAATTAGATGAGTACACACACTCCCTGCTCTATACAAATATTCACTACTCCACCCCCAGCTCTTAGGCTTCTTGTCTTATGAATGTAATAAAGTCTATTCGTGTGTTCTTACCTTAATAAAGACACATAGGCTACTGCTGCTAGGCACCAGCACCACACCCGAGGATCTCGCCAAGATTATTATTAGTAGTATAATCAACACTAAGCGCTAAACCACCAATGTCTCTCCTACAAGAAAAAAAAAATCGTCTCAATATTAAAGCTAGGGTATACATAATACTGTGTGAGGACTGTGACAAATTTAAAGTTAGATAAACGACCAGAGATCTAGACATGCGTTAATAGACAAATATGGATACCGTATAATCTCAAAAAAGCATGTATCTTGCATACGAATAAGCACCTCCATCTAATTTACTGGATATCACTGCCTTGAGTCAGCAGTTATGAGTTTGACTAATATAGATGTTCAGAACACCGGAGTTTTAACATAACACCTGTATATTTATGCTTTATTTACCCATGTATTGGATTAAAAAACGTATCCTTATCAAAAATCCAAATGTGTATAATTTATATATTTGTCAGCTGTATGACCCTTGTGGGTTTAGCGTTTAGTTTTGATTGTAATATATGCATTTGTAAGTATTGCACCTCGTGTTATATTCTTACCTTATTGTTCAGAATGCGCAGTTCACCAACGTTCTGCAAACCTTCAAATGCAAGGTTACGGAAGACGCCGAGGTCAGACTCCTGGATAGATATCTGGGTCACGTTCTTCAGTCCCCTGTTGTGGAAAAAAAACACTGTTGAAGTTAGCTAATACTGCTCGTTATTCTTGCACTTCCAATAATCGCTACAACTGTTAGTATTTCATTAACAAATTAGTTCATTCATCAATTCACAACAGCTCTCGCCACTAGTTAATTATATTCAACACAACATTCTGGCTGTATTCCCATGGCTTCAGTACAGCATCCTGGTTCCCCTGAATTCATTAGAGCATTCTGGTTTCCTCCCCAGACTTCATTACAACATTCTGGTTCCCTTCTCTGACTTCAGAACAGCTTCCTACCTCCTTCCTCTGGCCTTAGTAACTAACATTTTCCTGCCTCCAGGGCTTTCAAAAAATCTTGAGTCACTCTGACTGCACCACCAACTGGCTCCTTAAACTAGTTGTAGCTCCTAACAACAGCTTTCGCTGGCTGCAGTGTTTCCTTCTAATTTTTCGCACAGACACTAGCAGCAATCCTTCCTCCTGGTCCTTAATACAGACACTAGCAGTAATCCTTCCTCCTGGTCCTTGATACAGACACTAGCAGCAATCCTTCCTCCTGGTCCTGGGGTGTTTGTTAGCCAACTGGTGTGGGTCGCATCCCGGGAAAAATTTACCTAATTTGCTCGAAATGCTCTGCATAACTAGGGATTTTCTATATAGTAATATGTCACTGATGTCAGCTAGACCTGTATACCTTGTACATGTACCTGTAGAAATAGATATTATATTATATAATACAGAAACTAGCAGCAATCCACCTCCTGGTCCCTAACACAGACACTGGTAGCATTTCTTCCCGTTCCCTCATACAGTCACTAGTGACAGCTCTACCTCCTGGTCCCTAACAGACACTGGCTGCTGCTCTTTCTCTTGGTCCCTAACACAGACACTGGCTGCAATACTTCCTACTGGTCTCTCACGCAGACACTGGCTGAAATACTTCTTTCTGGCTCCTCACAGACACTGGTCGCAATCGTTCCTGCCTGTTCCTTACAGAGACACTGGCCGCAATCCTTCGCTGGTTGCTGAGAGGCAACCAGTGTCCGTCCGGTCTCATGAACGGTACACTCTTATAAATAGTGCAAGCAAAAGATCTGGGCATTTTAAATATGTGGATAACAAATTTAGTGTTTTTTTTTATGTAGATCTAAGGTTTTTATTGACACTGTAGATAATGTGAACAAATCGGAAGTTCTGGTAGACATACACTCAAACGTCATCGAGAGTCAGACTGAAATTGTACAAGTGTTTCTTTCAAGCAAAAATATACACAAAGAGATAATGAACAGTGTCGGATTTAGGTGAAGAGAAGCCCTAGGCTATTCCGCTTGTGAGTCCCCTCACAATCCCCCACCCACACCGCTAGAGGAAGATGGAAGTGTGGAAAATTTTTTGATTTTCCGAAGCTATAGCGCCTAATAGGTGTTTAATGTGTCGATATGAGTCAAAAATGTATTTGACAATAGGACAGATTATTATTATTATAATCAAGGGGGAAGCGCTAAACCCGGAGGATTATACAGCGCCTGGGGGGGGATGTGGAAGGCATTCAGTCTTAATTCGGGGAACTGGAGCACAGATCCATTTCCCTAAATCAAGAGCCCCTCACCAACATCAAGGAACCTTCCTTGAGGGGACAATAGGACAGAACCAATAGTTCCCTTTGCACATGCGCAGATGTGCGGGGGTATAGGTCGAGCTGGGGCACGAGGGGGCGGGAGTGTTTTGAATGTAGTGAGGAGGCTGTGAAAACATGGGATCAGGAAATTGGTGTTCACGGCAGCCTAAGGATTAATATGGGCCTCACTTCATAATAGGAAGTGTCGTAACTGTTCCTGGTGAAGAGTGAGGGAATGTGATTTACAGGACCACCGTAAAAGGGTGGTAAAATTAATGAATAATGGTTCGACCGGGTGTGACTGGTGCGGGGCCATTGTGTGTGTCCAGGGGAAATACCCGTGAGTTAATCCTCACTCATCGGCCTCAGATCTTAATGGAGTGACCTCTAATGTGTATAATAATTATGAGACGTTAAATCTTCTTGTGAATGGTAATGTAATCAGTGATAATAACATTAAGTTAAGAGAATGCGGGATGTGAAATAGATCGCCCTGCTCCGAGTGAACGCGTGATTCTCGTACCGAGGATAGTGAAGTTTTATGGAATCACGACTTCTAAACCGGGACAAACCAACGGATACCTCGTCCTGCTGGAATAAGAACCATGTCGGTGTAGCAGGACATCGAAATGAGATGGTGAATGGAGGAAATACGGAGTATCAATCACCCACAGTTAAGTAACCCTTCTAGTTATAGCAGACTGATACTGGCCAGTTAGGTATGTTGTAATTGGATAGGTTATGGGTGATTCAGCTACATCAAGTGACCACCAGAGAATATCTGGTAAGTGGTGAGATTATGTACAAGTGTTTTTCCTTGATGGATATATCCATGTGTAACCTACCCCCCCCCCCTTCATTCAGTTAAATATAATCTATACAGTCCACAATTAATTAGTAGCACTGTACTTGTGGGTGCTATCCAATCCATACTGGTCTCGGATAGATATGGATAAGATTGTGAGGTCGAAGGAACCACTTGCCGTGACCAGGGGTGGTTAAGTTTTCTCACATGTCTACACGGGGTGACTACAGTAAACAATGTGGTTGTCTCCCAATGAGTTTACTTGTAAGCATGTAATGTTGAGGTACATAAAGGTAATCACCCCTAGAAAATTTTCCATAGGAAGAGTGTCTTAAACAAAATTCAGTGAAGACGAGGATGATGACGGGTGTTTTAAATTCCGCAGTTCACAATTCCTCCTCTAAAGGACTTAATAAGTTATTGTTAAATACCATAGTGATTGGAAAAAAAAAACATACATGTTAAAAATTAACACCGTGAAAAACTTTTGCAGTAACCGAACACTATAAACATTTTGTTGCATAAGCAGGATTTTTAGGAAAATGAAATTGTAAGTTTACTGTTATATTCTTTAAAAAAAATATTAAGAAATAAAGAAACTACAATCATCAAATACACTAAGACTAAAAAAAAGCTTTCTTCTGGCTTTCCGCATAGCAAAATCATCCAAAAATTCATCAAAATTTGTTTGTCTAAGTTTGTCACTCTCAATGCAGACAACCTATCTAGGACCCTTAATTCGTTTTTAATTCCTTTGAGGCTTGAGAAAGACCTCTCTCTCCTGAGCATTTAGTGACTATTAAGTTAAGAAATAACCGCAAGATTGCTTCTGCATTAGGGAAGGCCATCTGAATTTTTTCCTTGTATTAATTTGAAAAAGGTCTGTATGTGACAGTGACTGCTCTTTTGTAGGTCTGTGGCTTTGTCTCATGTACATGTGAAAGTGCAAAAGTTCATCAGTAAGTTTCAGGTCAACATCTTCTGGGTATGCTGCCATCAAGAATTCAACATCTTGCTGAATTTCTTGCCTAGATGCTGTCAGATTAGCAAGAAAGGAAAACATCTGTACAACATGACTCACGAAATCGTAATGACACGATTGCAAACAAACCATAACACGGGCGGGGATAGAGCCCGCGGTCAGAGAGCCTTGAAACTCCAGACCGTTGCGTTAGCCACTAGGCCAGCTAGCCGCAATAAGATTCGTCTAACTAGGTATATTTCTACACCATAGGAAGGTTAGCATAGGCACCACTGTGACCACAAATGCAAGTTTTTACAGCTATCTGGCCCAGTGGCTAACGCGACGGTCTGGAGTTATGAGACTCTCTGATCGCGGGTTCTATCCCTGCCCGTGTTATGGTTTATCTGTACAACATCATTGTACACAGCAGCTCTTCTTAAATTGGCTTCAAGTGTATCTAGTATAGGAATAAAGGATTTTATCCTAAACTTATGTCTCGAAGAGAGTTCCTTGTGACAGTTCTGTAGTTAACATTTTAATGATTTTTTTCTCCATCTCATCAAAATCTTTTCTAATTTTGCTTAAAAATTCCTGAAGTAACCTGTACAAACATATACGAGTACTCAATAACAGCACTGTTTTCTGAATGGCTTTGCTGACTTTGTGAAAATGACCTAGCACTCGGGTCCAAAAATGCAGCATAAACACAAATTCCAGTTCTTCAATTTTCTGCATAAGGTTGTTAGCTTGGAGAGAGAGAGGAGAGAGAGAGAGAGAGAGAGAGAGAGAGAGAGAGAGAGAGAGAGAGAGAGACGCTCTCTATACAGACGAAGGCGAAGAATCACAGAGCTGCTGAGAGGGGCCAATATATCTGTAATTCGAGGGGAGGCACTGGTCAATGAAATAGCAAATATCGATCTTAAGCTGAAGGAATCTTACAGGAGACAAGAATCGCAGGAAGAACTAAAAGCCATAAAGGAAACTGAAAAAAAAAATATTTCTTCTCTTATGCCAAATCTAAGGGAAAAATAACATCCAGTATTGGGCCGCTGCTTAGACGGGACGGGACATACACAAATAACAGCCAAGAAATGAGTGAAATACTAAAGTTCCAGTACGACTCAGTGTTCAGTGAGCCGTTACCAAGACTAAGTCGTTACCAAGACTAAGTCGTTACCAAGACTAAGTCGTTACCAAGACTAAGGGTCGACAATCAAAATTAATTCTTCATGAACGAGACCTAAAACTTGGTCATCTCAAAAATCTCTGATATTATCCTAACACCACAACAATCTGAAAAGGCAATAAATGACATGCCCATGCACTTTGTCCAAGGCCCAGAGTCATGGAACTCCGTGTTCATCAAGAAAACCCTGTCGCGTGCCTTCAGCATTCTATGGAGAGGAAGCATGGACACAGGGGTCATCCCACTCTCACTAAAAACAACAGACATAGCCCCACCGATAGCACTAACATCCCATATCATAAAAATCTTTGAAATGGTTCTAAGAAGCAAGATCGTCAACCACCTAGATACCCATCAGTTACACAACTCAGGGCAACATGGGTTTAGAGCAGGTCGCTCCTGCCTGTCCCAGCTACTGAACCACAATGAAAGGTCCTGGATGCTATAGAGGATAAACAAAATGCAAATGTAGTATACACAGACTTTGCAAAAGCTTTCGACTAGTGTGACCATGGTGTAATAGCACACAAATTACATGATAAAGGAATAACAGGAAAAGTTGGTAGATGTATCTATAACTCCCTGACAAATAGAACACAATGAGTAATAGTAAACAGATTAAGTCCGAGGCAGCTACAGTGAAAAGCTCTGTTCCACAAGGTACAGTACTCGCTTCCATTCTATTCCACATCCTCATATCTGACAAAGACAGAGATGTAATTGCCATGACAGTGTCCTCCATCGAAGACACTGCAAAACTCCAAGCGGACATCAACCAAACCTTCAGATGGGCCACTCATAACAATATGAAGTTCAATGAAGAGAAATTTCAACTGCTTAGATAGGGAACTCTTGAAGAAATTAAAACTGTATCAGGGTATAAAACAAATTCTAATCATACAATAGAGCGAAAAGTAATGTGGAGGACCTGGGAGTGATAATGTTAGAGGATCTTACCTTCGAAGACCACAACAATGTATCTACTGCATTTGCTAGGAAATTGGTAGGGTGGATAATGAGAACCTTCAAAACTAGGGATGCGAAGCCCATGATGATTCTCTTCAAATCGCTTGTTCTCATTAGCTGGGATACTGCTGTGCACACTAACTGCCCTCTTCAAGGCAGGCGAAATTGCTGACCTGGAGAGTGTACAAAGAACTTTCACGGCACACGTAAGTATGATAAGACACCTAAATTATTGGGAACGGTTGAAGTTCCTTGATTTGTATTCCCTGGAATGCAGGCGAGAGAGATACATAATAATACACACTTGGAAAATCCTACAGGGATTAGTACCGAACTTGCACACGAAAAATCACTCCCTATGAAAGCATAAGACTCGGCAGGAGATGCAACATTCCCCCAATGAAAAGCAGGGGCGCCACGAGTACACTGAGAGACAACACAATAAGTATCAGGGGCCCAAGACTGTTCAACTTCCTCCCAGCATACAAAAGGGGAATTACCAATAGACCCCTGGCTGTCTTCAAGAAGGCACTGGACAGTACCTGACTAGTCGGGCTGTGGTTCGTACGTCAGTTTGTGTGCGGCCAGCAGTAACAGCCTGGTTGATCAGGCCCTGATCCATTACGAGGCCTGGTCTCAGACCGAGCTGCGGGGCTTTTACCCTCAAAACCCTTTCCAGGTATACTCCAGGTAAGCCTTGTATCATCCTTCTCATTAACATCAGAGTACAAAAGACTGAGGAACTCAGTCAATTTATCTATCTCACTGCTTTCCTGGAAGGACAAAATCAGTACAGAAATCAATGCTAGTGTCGAGTTATTGGCATAAGACAGTATTATTCTGAAATAGAGTGCAAGGAACATTACTAAGGTTGGTTTAGAGACTACAGTGCGTTATGACAGCATGTGCATGAAAGGCATGCGTGTCAAAACATTATACACCTTGGCCGAAGGCCGCCTAGATTTTTTGGCCTTAGGCTTCAGCCTTTGAGACCTATAGGTAAATCCGGCACTGAATAAGCATTTTACCAGCAAGACAACGTCAAATGTGGAGAAAGTCACCATCATCTGTGCACTAAAATTCATGATCGTCAGTGTCTTGTGTTCCGTTTATCCTAACCTGTCGACATTTTTGTGACCTTGTCAATATAAGTCGAGCAGTTTTCGAATGCTTCTTGAGCCGACTCTAATAAATAAAGTCCTACCTGCGTTGTACAGTGAGTGAGGACAGTTTGTCTGGGTAAGTAAACTCTGCTTCTACCACTGAGCCCCTCATGGGACGTTCCTTGATGCTGGTGAGGGGCTCTTGATCCAGGGAATTGTGTCTGTGCTCCAGTTCCCTAAATTAAGCCTAAAGGCCTTCCATCCCCACAAGCGTTGTATAATCCCTACGGGTTTGGCGCTCTCCCATGATAATAAAATTCTACCACTGAAAGACAGTTGGCTACTAAGTTAGATTATAATAAAATAATGGATAACATTGCTACAGCAGAATGAACACTAGATGGAGGAAGTTTTTTTTTTATTCGCCGGTACTCTCCCGGCCCAGGTCTTTTCCAAGAGTGGTGACCCGGCCTTGGCTCCCTATCTGGGGAGTGTCCCGAGACCTAAGTCTCCCATGGGAGGAGGTACAAGTACCCCCTCATCTTTGGGACCAAGTGTCCCCCGGCCTAGCCACAGTCCCCGCCCTCAGAGAGCTCGTAGGGAGAAGCTAGGCCTCTGGTCTGCCATCTGCCCCGCCCCAAAGGGGCTGGTGGGGATGGCAGTCTTACGAGCTGCAGGTGGGAGCAAGCTCAGGCTTCCCTCTATTCTGGAGGAAGTTATTATTTTATTATTAAATATTCGCCGGTATTCTCCCGGCCCGGGCCTTTTCCAAGTGGTGGCCCGGCCTTGACTCCCTCTTTTGGGAGTGTCTGAGACCTAAGTCTCCCATGGGAGGAGGCACAAGTACCTCCTCATCTTTGGGACCAACTGTCCCTAGGCCTAGCCACAAGCTAGGCCTCTCTGGTCTGCCATCCCCGCCACAAGGGGGCTAATGGGAATGACAGTCTTATGAGCTAAAGGCTCGGGCTCAGGCACCTACCCTACCCTAGAAGGGTTAGGCATGGTGTCGATGTGGAGGAAGTTGTTGTACTTTGCTTTATACGTTACTAACATTGCTTCGTATTCAATTTACATTTACAATATATGTAAGTAAATAACACAGGTTTCTGTTATAATGTTTTGTTCTTAAATAGAAAATAGTAAATTTACTGAGTGTAAAACTGTTTTATTGTTTTGATTACAAAAACATAACATAAACTATTGCATAATTGTATTTTTATTGTTTTGATTTCTTATACAAAATAATACTTGTGTTTCTTGTAACATCGACACCATGCTTAACCCTTCTAGGGTAGGGTAGGTGCCTGAACCCGAGCCTTTAGCTCATAAGACTGTCATTCCCATTTGCCCCCTTGTGGCGGGGATGGCAGACCAGAGAGATCTAGCTTGTGGCTAGGCCTGGGGACAGTTGGTCCCAAAGATGAGGAGGTACTTGTGCCTCCTCCCATGGGAGACTTAGGTCTCAGACACTCCCTAAAGAGGGAGCCAAGGCCGGGCCACCACTTGGAAAAGGCCCGGGCCGGGAGAATACCGGCGAATATTTAATAATAATAATAATAATTTCTTGTAAATAAAAAAAAATAAACGAAGAGAAATGGTGATAACTATGACCATATTTTTAAAGGGATGGACCGCTAAGCCAGCGGAAGGTCTCGGTCAGATGACCAAAAGCTCTAGCTGTGGATCATCATATGACTAAGACCCGCGTAAGAAAATACTTGCACTGTTTCCTGACAAATTTACCTTCTTGTAAAACTATATTTCTTTGTATTTTGATTTTAAATACAAAACAAGCATGTATAATGGATTTGAAATTTTATTTGGTATGTGATACGGCGCCATTTTTATGAACTCACTCTCCATGGCTTGAGAACCTAACAACGCCACTGGTTGTGACGGCTATGTGGACCAGAAGCCCGCTGATACCAACAGCCTGATTGAGCAAGCTATCAGAAAGCCTGCCTGGCCCCAGGTAGAGCTATGAGGAGGAGGCAAAAGCCCTTGAAACCTGCCACAGAGACTAACAACTTTAGCCAGGACTTACCTGAAGGTGTAATTCCTCAAGGCGTGCAGGTCGAGGCTGTGTAGACGTAGAAGACCAACTCCTTCTAGGTCGAAGAAGGCGTCTGATTCTATCACCTGAAGCATCAAGTGTCTTCTTAATTCCACATTTTACACATACATACACACACACACGCATCATATAAATTTTTCTAATATTTTTTTACATTTAGTAGTTTATACAGGAGGAGTTACCTTTATAACTCGCATGACTGACGGAATAAAGATTCTTCTCCACTACCCCACGAAGTGAATGTTATCAGAAATAATTAATGACAAGACTGCCAAATTGAAGAAGAAACTATCACTAGTTTCTCCTACATATAATGAATGACCTCTCCATGACCTGTTAAATCTGTAATTACTTAAATGCTGTATAGCCCTTGTGGCTTAGCGCTTCTTTTTTATTATAATAATAATAATGTAATTACTTAAACACTAATCCAAGACAAGCAGAGGACACTAACCTTGACCCATTATTGGGTCAGTGTTCCCTGCCATGAGTGGCAGGGAACACTGATCTTGACCCATGATTGGCAGAGGACACTGACCTTGACCCGTGATTGACAGGGAACACTGACCTTGACTCATGATTGGCAGAGGACACTGACCTTGACCCATGAGTGGCAGGGACCACTGACCTTGACCCAGGAGTTTCAAGTGACACTGACCTTGATCTAGGAGGTGCAAGGAACACTGACCTTGACCCAGGAGGGCAGGTAGAGGAACTGGGCGGTGCGGAGGCCGGAGAAGGCTCTGGCCTTCACTCTCACCAAAGGGTTTTCCTGCAGTAGGATCATGCCGATGTTTCTGCTCCCGGCGAACACGTACCTACAACAACGAGTACACTTAAAGCGTTTCTGTATTTAAACATTTAAATGGTATAGTACAAAAAGTTACTATTATTATAGCCAGAACTTTGACATAAATGCTTTGACACAGTGGTTCCCAAACTGGGGGTAAATTACCCCCTGGGGGTAATTTAACCATTTTTGGGGGGTAATGGAGGGGTGACAGAAAAAAAGTTATGAATTCTGAAAATCAAGAAAACAATGCGGTACCCTGTATGTGGATTATTGTTAACTTTGTCTTAGTATATAAAGTTGTAAAGTAAACCTATTATAAGTAAGTAATAAAGTTAAACCAAATAACAATAAACATCAAAAACTAATATACAGTATTAGAAAAGAATAAATATATAGCTAAGTGTGTGGAAACCCAAAAGTATTTTGACAAGTATGCTTCAGGACAAAAGTCACTCAGTAGCCCAGATCGACCTGTCCAGTACGTGTCACTCACTTCCTGAGGCTGCCTCTATTTCACACTGTCAGTTTATCTGTGAGCATCAGCCGAGGTAGACATAAGCTGGTATGTATGTGTACTGCCCTGTGCAGTATATAGTTTGAAAATGTGTTGAAAATCGTCAACTTCATCAAGTCCAGAGATGTGAATTCGCGCATATTCAAGGAGCTGTGCAAGGAAATGGGAGAGCAGTATCAAGTTCTGCTCTACCACACCGATGTTCGCTGGTTGTCACGAGGCTAGGTTGTACGTCGAGTCATTGAGCTCCGAAAAGCTGTTCAGGAATTCCTGGAACAAAAAGGATCTCCTTTTGCTACCAAGTTCACCGATAAGGAGTGGCTTGCTCGACTTTGTTACTTGGCTGACATATTTGCGGAGCTGAACAGTGGTAATCTGCAACTCCAGGGCCGAAACACGACTGTCATTGATGTCCATCACACTGTGACTGCATTTCTGGGGAAACTGAGACTCTGGATTCGGCGCTTGGAGAAAGGAGTGATCGCCCAGTTTCCCACCCTAGACCAGTTTGTTGAGGAGAATAGTCATGATACTGGATCACTTCTACAGGCCATCAACAAAGAAATGAGCGACCATTTGAAGGGGCTTGAAACAAGCATGCATCACTACTTTCCAGAGAGTGACCAAGAAACAGCCACTCTTCAGTGGATCATTCATCCCTTCTCTGTACCTGATGATGCCATTCATGATGATGATTTCCCTGCAAAGGAGGAGTGGATCACAATGCGAGCCAATGAAGCCTTGAAAATCGAATTCCAAAACCAAAATGCAGATTCCTTTTAGATTTCACGACTACCTGACTCGCCAACTCTGTCCAAGAGAGCCTTGAAGTTGTTGGTATCATTCTCAACAACGTATCTGTGCGAGAAGGGCTTCTCAACTGTGCTGGGTATGAAAACAAAAAAGAGGACTCGCTTGAATGTTGCAAACGATGCCAGGCTGGCACTTTCAACCACGAAGCCAAGAATTCCTAAACTAGCTTCAAGTATGCAATTCCATCCATCCCACTGATGTTCTTGACATGTTTGGTAATAGTCATTAGAGATGCACAATGTTCAAATACAATAAATAAAAGAAAATATCTCAAGTGTTTTAATTTAGCCATATATATCAATAATAACAACATTTTGTGAAAGGGGTAACATGCTTTATGTGGCATGTTAAATTGGGTAACAAGCTGAAAAAGTTTGGGAACCACTGAGTCTTTGACACACCTGGTGAACTTTATTGTGCTAAACATGGATGTTTTGTTGATTATTTCGTCGTAATGATCCCAGCCTCTGGGTCGGAACATTTACTTGAAAACCAAGCCTTAACTTGACTTAGATATGGCCTAGGAGTATATCGAAACATCCAGGAATAATCCAACCCTTTCTTTGGTTAATCTCAGGCCACTTCAACGAAGTGGTCTAAGATTAACCGCATCAGATTAACCGATCTAGATATATGCTCTTCCTAACATGGCCCTGCAGTGAGATCTGTCATAAGGGAAAGAGAAGCCTGTGTAGGTTTTAGGTTTCTTACGGATGTATGGTCTCGATGCGGTTGTTGCAAAGGTTGATCTGGTTGACGTTCTCCAGTCCCGCGAAGGAGAACCGAGGCAGCTCCGTCAGTGGGTTATTCTGAAGGAGAAAATCATTCTAAAGTGGAGCCTGAACTGAGGAAAATACAGTGTAATATTATACAGTAATACACCAATTCATCACAGAAAAAATACAACATAAAATAGTTTACGTACGACATAAACCTTTCTTCGTCTGACCTACTTAGTATTACGTAAACTAAATATGTTTAAGATAAGATTTTGTTTGGATTTTTAACCCCGGAGGGTTAGCCACCCAGGATAACCCAAGCAAGTCAGTGCGTCATCGAGGACTGTCTGTCTTATTCCAATTGGGGTCCTTAATCTTGTCCTCCAGGATGCACATCAGACCAGTCGACTAACACCTAGGTACGTATTTGCTGCTAGGTGAACAGGGCAACAGGTGTAAAGAAACGCGTCGAAATGTTCCCACCCCGCCGGGAATCGAACTCGGGCCCTCTGCGTGTGAAGCGAGAGGGTTGCCAGCCAGGCTACGGCTGGCAACTGCTACGTCAATAGAATCTAACACAGTTATAAGAACGTAAGAAAGACGGAACACTGCAACAGGCCTACTGACCCATGCGAAGCAGGTCCATGCCACCCCCGGCTTAGAACAATGACCACCCAGTCAGGTCATTTCCACTTAAGGAAGGAGCACAGCATCAGACCTGGTAGCACAAGCTAGTCAGGTCCAACTTACACCCACCCACACCCACTCATGTATTTATCCAACTCATTTTTAAAACTACACAACGTCTTAGCTTCTATGACGGTACTCTGGAGTTTGTTCCACTCATCCACAACTCTATTACCAAACCAGTGCTTTCCTATATCCTTCCTGAATCTGAACTTTTCCAACTTGAAACCATTGTTGTGAGTCCTGTCTTGGCTGGATATTTTCAGCACGCTATTTACATCCCCTTTATTTATTCCTGTTTTCCATTTATACACCTCAATCATATCCCTTCTAATTCTACGCCTTTCTTGAGAGTGCAGATTCAGGGTCCTCAGTCTATGACTTAAGAAATCGTAATGACACGATTGCAAATAAACCATACCCCCGGCCGGGATTGAACCCGCGGTCATAGAGTCTCAAAACTCCAGCCCGTAGACCAGCTAGCCACAATAAGATTCATCCAACTAGGTATATTTCTACACCATAGGAAAGTTAGCACAGGCACCTCTGTGACCACAAATGCAAGTTTTTACAGACGAATCTCCAGCTAGCGTGGCCGTGACGAACTCTAGCTCAAGTCCCTTCACTGCCGTCAACATGACTTAAGAAATCGTAATGACACGATTGCAAATAAACCATACCCCCGGCCGGGATTGAACCCGCGGTCATAGAGTCTCAAAACTCCAGCCCGTCGCGTTAGCCACTAGACCAGCTAGCCACAATAAGATTCATCCAACTAGGTATATTTCTACACCATAGGAAATCGTGTCATTACGATTTCTTAAGTCATGTTGACGGCAGTGAAGGGACTTGAGCTAGAGTTCGTCACGGCCACGCTAGCTGGAGATTCGTCTGTAAAAACTTGCATTTGTGGTCACAGAGGTGCCTGTGCTAACTTTCCTATGGTGTAGAAATATACCTAGTTGGATGAATCTTATTGTGGCTAGCTGGTCTAGTGGCTAACGCGACGGGCTGGAGTTTTGAGACTATGACCGCGGGTTCAATCCCGGCCGGGGGTATGGTTCCTCAGTCTATCCTCATAGGGAAGATTTCTGATACATGGGATCATCTTTGTCATCCTCCTCTGTACGTTTTCCAGAGCATTTATATCCATTCTGTAATACGGTGACCAGAACTGTGCAGCATAGTCTAAATGAGGCCTAACCAAGGATATATAGAGTTGAAGAACAACCTGAGGACTTCTATTATTTATACTTCTTAATATGAAGCCAAGGATTCTGTTAGCTTTATTGCGAACACTTATGCACTGTTGTCTTGGTTTCAGATTACTGGTAACCAGAACTCCTAAATTTTTTTCGCAATCAGTAATATTAAGATCTACACTATTCAGTTTATATATGGCATGGTTATTGGCCTGTCCAACATTTAGAACTTTGCATTTGTCTATATTAAACTACATCTGCCACTTCTCCGACCACTTAGGGTTTGAAGCTGATCAGAAGAGGCATTCACTAGTTATTACATTGGAAACAATTAGCTTAGTAAAACTGGAAAATTGAAATTTAAGCCTCTCAAAGCGAGCAATAAGTTTTGTTTTAATAAGACCCACCAATGGAAAATGTTTGAAATGGATCAGAAAAGACATTCTCGAGTCATTGATCTGATTCCAACAATTCCAAGTTTATCTGTTTCATTAAAAATTCAGATTTGCAGCTATTCTGATTAAACTTACGAGTCATCTTCCTTATTAGATAATATATCGTCAATAATATTATGAAGACAATCAGAAGAAGCATTTATTAGTTATTTATTCAATAAAATTAGCACATTGGGATTAATGCCTCCTAACAGCAGTGTAATTCTTGCGTTCAGGAAACCACACCATCGGGGAAAATTTGAAGCCGATCAGATAAGTGATTCTTCGGTTACGACACGGATTCCACCGAGTCCAATTGTTTTTTACTACATTTTTATCATTAAAATAATTGTCCTCATATAAAGGAAGTTTGACAGGTACTATCCTGACATTGAGATACATCACCCATTAAATACTGAAGCCGTTCAGAAGAGGTAAACTGAATTATATTTAACATGATTTAACGGGAATAAAAATTCCACACTTGTGTACACAAATTCGTCAGATCTTGTCACCTCGTCAGATCTGCTGCATCTACATATTTGAATTTTACTCTCCGCGCTCGTTGTATTTATTGGCATCTGAAGATTTTGAAAGTTATCGATACGAACCATTCCAGGATGCTGGGAATGGTTCAGTAAATTTGATAAAATTTAGGTTGGATAAGTACATGAGTGGGAGGGGTTGGATTTGAGAGGGACTTGCACATCGGAGCTTGTTTCTTGGGTGGCATTGAAAATTGGGTTGGTCAAATGTTTGTTAGTGGGATGAATTGTAAAGGACCTGCCTAGTATGGGCCAACAGGCCTGCTGCAGTGTTCCTCCTTTCTTATGTTCTTATGTTCTAGGTCTTGAACATGCCAAATATTCCCAGAATTTGGTCCTCGTTACCGTACACAAGTTGAAAATTTGAAGGGTATTAGATGAGGTATTCTCTAGTTATGGGCAAAATATAAACCATATGAACATTTGCAGCCTACTAAAAGATAATTATCTTATATTTCATGTATAAATTGGTCTTATATTCATTATAATGCTTAAAGATAGTTTACTATATATCTGAGAAAATTTGACTCCCTTTCACTTTTCACAAGGAGTGTAATTTGATAACTTGTAAACAGTGATGTAAATAATTCCTATAGAGGGAAATTTTAGATAAGTTTTCTAAGTTTTACGTCTTCTGCTTCATTAAGCAGAAGACGTACAACTGGAAGCCATATTCCTTGTATCTTATACCAGTCGTGGCATTTGTTCCTGTATTCAGGTGTTGATCTCTCTCGACCCTTTATTAAAGCTCGTTTGAAAGTAAAAGACTGGGGCAGGGCGGTGCAAAATACTCCCAGTGAAAAGTAGGGGCGCCATTGGTACAGTAAAAGAAAGCAGTATAAGTGTCCGAAGCCCAAGACTGTTCAACGGCCTCCCACCATGCACGAAGGGAATTACCAATAGGCCCCTGGCTGCTTTCAAGAGGGAGCTGGACAGATACTTAAAGCAGGTGCCGGATCAGCCGGGCTCTGGTTCGTACACTGGACTGTGTGCGGCCAGCAGGAATAGCCTGGTTGATCAGGCCCTGATCCACTGGGAGGCCTGGCCGTGGACCGGGCCGCGGGGGTGTTGATCCCCGGAATACCCTCCAGGTAGACTCCAGGTAGAGGAAGAAAAAATTTAGGCACACTCTTAAAAGTACCCATTCAAAGATACCTAATAACTCAACCATACACTTTATGCGGTATACTCATCAGTCTTATTCTCCTAAAATTCATATACTCTTATTTTATCCTCTTTTTCTTGACACAAAGGAACTGTGAACGTTCTCTACCAATCCCCAGGTAAATTCTCCCCTTTTCATGCGTTTATTTAACAGATGCATCAACCTCTCCCAAACTACAGTGCTAGTCACGACATTATGCCGCCTCTCCCCACACACGTACCAAAGCTTAAACACATACCATGAAAGAGGTTTTAATACTTGGTGCTGCGTCCTTTATGCTTAATCACGGCCCTCAGCCGTGTAGGAAGACTCTTACACAAATTCTTGAGGGTTTGTGGAGGTATATTATTCTATGCCTCATGTAGAGCAGCCTCCAGCCACGGGATGAAACTGATATCCTTGCCCAGTAAACTTCGTTTGACTATTGACCAGAGGTTTTTATTAGGGATTAGGTCTGGGGAATTGCCTGGCCAGTCATTAAAGAACCTCACTTCACAGTCCTTAAGCCACTGAACTACAGATTTGGCAGTATGACATGATGCCGCCCTGCATAAAAACCGTAGCCCCACGCTTGTCAAACGCCTCAGGTAAATTGTCACACAATAACTCCAGGTAATTATACTGGTTCGTATACTGATTTTTGGGAAGCACAACGAGTTCACCAATGCTCAGAGCACTGAAACACCCCAAACCATGAGCGAGTTTGGGTGTTTGTGGTCCCACAGGTGTAGCGTGGGTCAAGCGGGCCAGTACACATGTCCCCCACGGTTACAAGTGACGGCGAAGGTTGCGTCATCACTCCAAAGTACTTCACACCAATGTTGAAGATTCCATTGAAAATATTTCTTTGCATAATCCAGCCTATGTTTCTTCTGTGGCTTGGAGAGGACCGGTTTCTTAACCTGGCGGTGACTACGGTAGCCCAGGTCTGACACACAACTGTTAACAGTTCTTACAGACACATCTGAGAGAAGAAGTGGGTTCTTTTCTTTCAGTTCTCTAGCAGTTATCTTAGGTGTACTCTCTAACTGCTTCTTGAACACAGTTAAGGTAAAAA